CTAATTTAACAAGCCAGATTCACTTAACAACCGTGTTACTAATTTAACAACTGCAGCAGTTCACTTTAACGGTGGCCAGAAAAGTCATAAAATGGGGCAAAATTCACTCAACTTTTTTTTTTGCTTAGCAACAGAAATTTTGGGCTGAATTGGGGTCGTAAGTCAAGGATTACCTGCATTCTAAATGAATTTGTGGTCATCCAGTACATTTAGATGGAGAAAAGTAGAGGTTCCCTCTGTCCAGTTGTGTCCAATTCTAGGGGTGTTGCTTGTCTCCATTTCCTAGCTGAGGGATCCAGTTTTTTTAGATAGGAAGGAAATTAACTCTGCAAAAATATTAATTTATTTAAACTGTTTTTATATGTACAACTTTTATCTGCATTTGGGGTCCAAAACGAATTTTCCTTGAGGTTAATGACTCTGAAATTGTTTTGCCTTTTTCTTCACTGTGTGGTTTGGCTCCGTTTAGTAGCTTGAGTCATCTAGAGCTGTTTGCTTTCTGATAAGTTGTACTATGCTCTTGCACTTAGCCATGTTGACACTAGTTTATGTGTGAGAGAGAAGGGTTTAGAAATCTGATTTGACAGCCTTACAAAGGACTCCTACAGATTCCCAAGAATCACATTACTTGACAGCTAAAGGAAATGTTCAGACTGGCAGGCCATGAGAAAGAGGACAGCAAAAATCTACAATGTTTTTCAAACGTGGCAACTTTAAGATATGCGGATTTCAATTTTCTAGACTTCCAGCCAGCAGTTCAAGAATTTAAAGTCCACACATCTTAACGTTGCCAAGTTTTTAAAATGCTGCTTTAACGCATAAGTAGAAGGTGGGAAGAACATTCCTGAAAAGTGTTATGGTGTATGGAAATGACATGGAGATACGTAGAACAAACAGAGCTAAGATAGGCAATGACACCAGATGGACGAGTAGACATCTATGATCTTGCCCACCCTTCTTAGTACCTGAGCTCTTTATGGCATTATTGTTTTTGCTACTTGCTGACATCACTGCTAAAACAGGTCTTTCTCCTCCTTGCTCGCAGAATACCGAATTTCAAGTAAATATGAAAGTTTAGACAGACTTCCCCATTCTCAAATAACTTTACTAGCTGCCAAGGTACTAGAACAGCGGTTCTCAACCTATGGGTCACGACCCCATTTGGGGTCGATCAACCATTTCACGGGGGTCACCAAGCAAGGCTATCCGCCATTTTTTCCCCTTTTCCGGCAGGTGCCTTACCTCCCTTGGGCTGGGCCAGCTGGTGGCCCAGCCGGTGGTCGGCCTGCTCCGTCTCTGCCGCTTGCCAGCTACGCCTTGGCCGGTGCAGGGGGCGGCACCACGCATGCACGGTGCTCCCGGGCAGAGAAAGTCCTCGACTTACGACTGGTTGGGTAGTCCTCGACTTACAACTGGTTTAGTCCTCGACTTACAACCGGTTGGGGGTCGTGGCATTAAAAAGGTTGAGAACCACTGTACTAGAAGCAAATGTTCCTCTGTATTCTCAATGAGTTGAGGTCATACTGTGTGAAGAAATACTGTACAAGAAATAGTCACTTATTCTGACAGCTGTAAATCTGAAAGGCAGGTGCTAGGTCTGAATAACAAAAGTAAAAATAAAGGTTTCCCTTGTCCAGTTGGGTCCAACTCTGGGTGTGTGTGTGTGTGCTCATCTCCATTTCTTAGTTGAGGGAGCCAGCATTGTCTGAAGACACTTCCATCATCATGTGGCCAACACGACTATATGCCAAAACACACGGAATGCTCTTAACTTCCCACCGAAGTGGTACCTATTTATCTTCTTGCATTTGCATGCTTTTGAACTGCTAGATTGACAGGAGCTGAGGCAAGAATGGGAGTTCATCCATCACGTGGCCCTTGGATCTTGAACTGCCAAGCTTCTGGTTGACAAGCCCAGCATCTTAACCATTAGGCCAGCGTGCCCCCTTCTAGAGATTAGCATGTACATGTATTCAGAGCTCTGAAAGTGGACTAGATATTGAAACAAATCATTAAATCCGCTAATTAGCATTGATTGGAACTCTTTACAACACCTAAATCTCCTTTCGCTCTGGTGTATCCCTTGCAAAGTAGTTCCTGGAAGAACTGAAGACTTGAAAGTGCTTGAGTGTGAATTCTAGTTCCTATGTTTTCATAAATATCTTTGTGTTCTGAGTTTTTTCACTTAAACCAGTGGTTCTCAACCTGTGGGTTGGGACCCCATTTGGGGCCGAACGACCATTTCACGGGGGTCGCCAAACAACGCAGTCCGCCATTTTTTCCCCCTTTTCCTTAGCTGTGCTACTCCCTTTTATTCTATTGGCTTTTGAAAGCCAATAGAATAGACTCTCTTGAATAGAGTCTAATTCTATTGGCTTTCAAAAGCCAATAGGAATTGTCCAGGCTGTCTCTGCCCTGCTGAGCCCGCCAAAAGTCCCATTCTGCAAATGGTGCTGCACCAGTTGAGTAGTCCTCGACTTGCGACCGGTTGAGTAGTCCTCGACTTACGACCGGTTGGGGGTTGCGGCATTAAAAAGGTTGAGAACCACTGACTTAAACATTGTGGTCTTGGTGCATTCTCGCCAATGGCTTTGTGCTTGCACAGACACCACCATTTTGGACAATTCACTAGTGAAGTGAAAGGTGAAAAGCCCACCCCCAATGGCCTACATTGCACCAGCCTGCCCAAATCCCCTGGTCACATTTTCCCCCATCCCAATATTAACTTTGTGAGAAGACTGGAAGATCTTTCTCACAGCAATGTTTCCCTTTTTGTTTCACAACCCTGAGGTACTGAGGTTTGGCCCACCGGAATGGTACTAAGGAGCAAGAGATTTGACTTTCTGTTTTGAGTGAAACTAATGCCTTGAACTTAAAAGGCCCCAGCGCCAGTAAGGCGAAGCAGAGATGAATTGACTGATAGAGCTAATTTGTTTGGACAAATTGATTCACAAGAGAGAGGGGAAATGTAACAGGCTGCTTTTAAGATGCCAGGGAAGGGTGTGTGATGAGTTAATGAAATATGCCTCAAGCTGCTTGTTTTTAATTTTTATCTGCAGTGCTACCAGCCATTACATGGTTGTAGGCCAGGAGTAGCTGCCCAAATTACTCCAAGAAAAGGAAACGCTCAAGGTCTACTAAAAATAAATAGCTGAGCTGGGAATCAAGAAGTTCATTCTTCCCCAAGGAGTTATTGAATGTTTGGAGAGTTATGATAGCCTAGAGCAGTGTTTCCCAAACTTGACAATTTTAAGGCATGTGGACTTCAACTTCCAGAATTCCACGCTGGCTGTGGAATTCTGGGAGTTGAAGTCCTCATGCCTTAAAATTGTCAAGTTTGGGAAACACTGGCCTAGAGCAGGGGTAGACAACCTTGGCTCTTTTATGACTCGTGGACTTCAACTCCCAGAATTCCTGAGCCAGCATGGCTCAGCTTGGAAACCTCTCCCTTTCCCCTCAGCATGGCTGGCTCAGGAATTCTGGGAGTTGAAGTCCACGAGTCATAAAAGAGCCAAGGTTGCCTACCCCTGGCCTAGAACTCTCTGTGTAGCACTGGGACAGAGCTGACCTAGGTTCAGATTGTTACTCAGTCCCGACAATGTCAGTTTCAGAGATCTCTTTGGGTAAATCAATCAGCCTCTCCAAGCCTCATTGGCCTCCCAAGATTTTTGTAAAGAGAAGAGAAGAGCCAACAACAATTTGGACGTTTCTAGAGGAAAAGTAATGTCAGCCAGTAACTATTCTTTCTCCTAAATTGAAAACTTTGTAAACACAGCAGGGTTTCAGATCAATGGCTTCCAGGTAGAAATAAAATCTGTCCATGTCAAGTCTTGACATTAAAAGCGTGCTTTATAGTGAGGCTGAAATCAAACCAAATCTTTATTTGGTCATAGACCAACAAATAAAACACAAAAGTCAGCCTTAAATAAGGTAAAAGGAAAAAAAATGATAGTTATTTCAAAACATCTAAAAAGGGTTAGAGTTCATACAGATAGTTCTCGACTTAGCGGGTCACAATGACGCCCAAAATTTCCATTGCTAAGCAAGACAGTTGTTAAATGAATTGTACCCCATTTTACGATCTATTTTGGCCCTCTTGTTAAGTGACTCATTGTGGTTGTTAAGTAAATCACGTGGTTATTAAGTGAATCTGGCTTCCCCCATTGACTTTTTTGTTGGAAGCCAGCTAGGAAGGTTTCCATGAGGATCACATAACTGCAGGATGCTGCAACTGTCCTAAACTAAACTAAATTTGCTCAACTCCCAAATTTTAAACACATGGCCATGGGGATGCTGCAGTGGTCATAAGTGTGAAAAATGGTCACACTTGCCGTTGTAACTTCAAACGGTCACTAAACGAATGGTTGTAAGTTGAGGTGTACCTGTACAGGTAGTCCTTGACGTACAACAATTTGTGTAGTGACCGTTCAAAGTTACAACGGCACTGAAAAAACTGACTTATGGACATTTTTCACAGTTACGACCTTTCCAGCATTCCCATGATCAGGCGATCAAAATTCAGATGTTTGGCAAACTGGTTCGTATTTAATTAACCTCTGTTGTGTCCCGGACTCATGTGATCCCCTTTTGCGACCTTTTGACAAACAAAAGTCAATGGGGGAAGCCCGATTCACTTAACAGCCGGGTTACTAACTTACCAACTGCAGTGATTCACTTAACAACCAAGGCAAGAAAGCTCATAAAATGGGGCAAAATTCACTTAACAAATGTCTTACTTAACAGAAATTTGGGGCTCAATTGTGGCGGTAAGTAGAGGACTAGCACAATATACTGTGCAGACTATCTGGGAAATACAAATCAGACTGATCCAATAATAACATTTTGAGATAAAAACAAATCGGAAGAACAAGGGTATTTAGCAAAGAGCAGAAATAATAGTTCCTGGCGAGCACATATTTCAATTATTCCTTGTGAAGCTCATGTGTGGAATTCCTGATACTGTTTTTTCCTCAATGGCACCTTCTTAATATCTTTTCTAGGGCTTCATTAGGATGTTTAGCGTTGGATACTTGATCCAGTGTTGCCTTCGCATCCCATCCACGTTCCGACATCTGTTTACAAAACCATCCCGGCTTCTCTCGCTTTTCTACAACAAAGAAAATTTCCAGCTTGGAGCTTTCCTTGGGTCATTTGTCAGTATATACAAAGTAAGTTTCAAAAGTGCTGAAAAATTAGAACGCAATTATGCTAAGCTTCTTCATCTGGCAGCAGCTGCTGCCGCTGTTGCAACCTTTTAGTTAAGTACCTTTATTGTTCTGGAGCAGAGTATCTCTTGACGCGAAATGAAACGTGTTATTTGCGAACAGTTTTGAAGGGAAAAAATATATATATACGGTGGCATTATCCAACCTTGTTTTTAACCTAATGTGGATAGAGACTTAATGCCCTTTAATGAGCATTAGAGGGAAATTGGTGGGTTCAGTCAGAAATGCATAACCTCTTAATAGGGGCAAGGTGGAAATTGACAGGACTTCATTTTCTCTGACCTATAACATTCCATTACTCCGAGAGGGAAAAACAAGGGCTGTAAATGAGTAGCAAAAATGTGAGGGTTAAAAAAAAAAACCTATTATCATGGCTCAGTAGAATTGGAGTTTAGTTAAGTGGTTATTATAAAACCACCCTTAATATTTTCAATTAGCTTAAATTTTAATGAATTAATGTTATCAATGAGTTGGGTTAAAATTAATTTTTAATCAATTTCATTCATTCATTCATTCCCTGCCTCCATTTTTTTTACAAGTAAGGTGGCGAACACACAAAATGTTCCTTTCTCCTTCTATTTTCCTCACATAGCTACAAATAGGTTTACTATGCAAGCAAGTCCCACTTTCTCTATATGCCTGGGTTGTTGTTTTTTCTCTAGCTCCAGTGCACAGCAGAAGCATTGCTTTGTGAAGGTTAATTCTGTATGTAAAGATTTTATTGTTTTTTTTTCATCAACATATGTTAATTTTTCCAATCAACAAGTTGTCTGGAGTTTGCTATGCTAATGCATGTTCAATTCCTAATCCTTCATTCTTTCCTCTAGCCAAGAATAAAATAGGTTCCAAATTTGATAGTAGTCTGTATCTTCTTTATCTTTCAGCCTCATAGTTAATCTGTCCATCTCTGCACATTCCAATATTTTCCTGATTATTTCTTCTTCTGATGGCAGTCAGGAAGGTTATTTCTTTCTACAAGCTTGTATAGAAATCAAAATAGGCAGAACTGTCCACTCAGCTAATGGATTGACTGAAACGGTAGAACTTCAGACTAGAAATGCTGAAAAAAGCAAGGTTCTACATTTAGGCAAGAAAAACCAAATGTACAGGTATAGTATAGGAGGTACCTTGCTCAATAGTAGTAACTATGAGAGGGACCTCGGAGTCCTAGTGGACAATCACTTAAATATGAGGCAGCAGTGTGCTGCAGCTGCCAAAAAGGCCAACACAGTGCTAGGCTGCATTAACAGAGGGATAGAATCAAGATCACGTGAAGTATTAATACCACTTTACAAGGCCTTGGTAAGGCCACACTTGGAATACTGCATCCAGTTTTGGCCACCACAATATAAAAAAGATGTTGAAACTCTAGAAAGAGTACAGAGAAGAGCAACAAAGATGATTAGGGGACTGGAGGCTAAAACATATAAGGAATGGTTGCTAGAATTGAGTATGTCTAGTTTAACGAAGAGAAGGACAAGGGGGGACATGATAGCAGTGTTCCAATATCTCAGGGGCTGCCCCAAAGAAGAGGGAGTCAAGCTATTTTCCAAAGCGCCTGAAGGCAGGATAAGAAGCAACGGATGGAAACTAACCAAAGAGAGAAGCAACCTAGAACTAAGGAGAAACTTCCTGACAGTTAGAATAATTAACCAGTGGAACAACCTGCCTCCAGAAGCGGTGAATGCTCCAACACTGGAAGTTTTTAAGAAGAGACTGGACAGCCATTTGTCTGAAATGGTATAGGGTTTCCTGCCTGAGCAGGGGGGTTGGAATAGATGACCTCCAAGGTCCCTTCCAACTTTATTATTATTATTATTATTATTAATCAGCGGAGGGAATGCTTTCTAATTTTGTAATGCTGCCTTCGTGTAAAATGGGTCTCAAACTGGCGGCCCGCAGGCCGGATGCGTCACACACAGGCCACGTCCACCCCGGCTCTGCAAAGGCAAAAAAACATCACAATATGTCAGGATACGTCACGTGAGGTGATCGAGTTTGACACCCGCGATGTAAAATGCCTAATGGCACCTGCGTTCTGTTGTACTGGATTATCACTTTTCATCATTTGTTTATGCGTTTGTATCCCAGCTTTGTTATTTTTATAATTAACTCAAGGCATCAAACATATCCAACACACCTTCCTCCTCCTGTTTTCCCCACAACAACAGCCCTGTGAGGTGGGTTGGGCTGAGAAAGAGCGACTGGCCCAAAGCTGGTTTTGATGCCTAATATGGGACTAAAACTCACCATCTCCTGTTCTAGATCAGTACTTTAACCACCGCACCAAACTTTCTCAGCTACCTGGCTAAAGTTTATTTAGTTATTTACATTTATTTGCGAAACAAAAGTTACAAATTCGAACGAGCAAAATGAAAAACAATTAACACGTGACGGGGGCGATAGGCATGTTAGTGCACTTACGTGTGTCCCCTTAGGAACCTCTTAAATATGGGGTGAGGTTCACAGAAGTGAAGTTAGAATTAAAATCGTGACAGTTAGTAGCTGAGACAACTGAATCGGGTAACATATTCCAGACTTTGACAACTCTGTTACAAAAATCATTTTTTTTAAATTTTTAAAAAGTTTTTTATTTATAATACATTTTTTTAAAAAAGAAATCATTGGACATGACGTAACATTCCAGTTTGAACATTTCTGTCAAATTATTTCTCTTCTTAAACTCAATTCTTTATCTCTATAAATGTATATAAACTTTTTATACAATACTAAATACATTTTCTCTATTTGCTAAGCTAAGAATATATATATTTCATCTTATCGCTAATCTATAACCCCAACAGTCCTCCTCGATTTCCACCAATGGTACAATTTATCCCAGATTTCAAAATATTCTGATCCGCTTTTATCTTTCAATTCCATCGTAAGCCTGTCCATTTCAGCACAAGATAGTATTTTAGGCAGTATCTCTTCATCTGTGGGAGTTTCTTTGTTCTTCCATTTTTGTGCAGAAGCCAGTCTAGCAGCAGTCAAGATGTGCAACATCAAATAGACTATTCCCTTATCATATTTATCTGTGGTTATACCCAATAAAAAGAGTTCAGGTTTTAGCTCTATCTCCAACATTAATATTTCTTTCAACCATTTTCTTATCCTATTCCAATAATCATGGGCTTTAGGACATTCCCACCATATATGGTAATAGGTCCCTATTGCTATTTTACATTTCCAACATATAGGTGAAAGATTTGGGCCCATTTTTGCTAACCTCGTGGGTGGGAAATGCCATCTGTAAAACATCTTATAAAGATTTTCCTTATAAGAAGTGGCTAAAATGAGTTTCCTGTCTCTTTCGCACAATTCTTGCCAAATATGTAAATCAATATTAAAGCTGAAATCCCTACTCCACACTAACATAGTTTCCTTGACCTGCTCTTCAAACATTGTCTGGTCTAGAAGGTAGTGATATAGTCTTTTAATCATTTTATCTTCAGTTTCTAATAATATTTTATCTAACTCTGTCGACTCTGTTTTTATACCCCAATCTTTTTTATCTTTCCTATATCTTGACTGCAATTGGAGATATGGCCACCATTCCAGTTCTATCCCTTCTTCCTGAAGATTTTTCCTTGAACAAAAATCAAAAATTTTACCGTAAAGTTTAAAGCGGTTTACATTAAGTTTAAAACGGTTGTTCGTCCGTGTTACATTACGATTAAAACTAAAAAAGTCATTTAGAGGTAAGACGTTACCATGCACAGTTTTTATATGCAATACCTAAATGTGCGCAATGGTGACACAAATTCTCCATAATAGAAGTTTAAAGTAGATAAGAAATATACAGGCTTCTTTGTGTGAGGAGGATGTTTAATATAACAGTTTGCTAATTATTAAATAACTGAATAATGTCTGTACGAGAAGGGATGATCACATACATTTGCATGCATGTGATCATCCCTTCTCGTACAGACATTATTCAGTTATTTAATAATTAGCAAACTGTTATCTTAAACATCCTCCTCACACAATACTAGCTCTTTGGATTTGGCTGAAGCTTTGTCCTGTTGAATAACCTTTTAATATATTCCCAAATACAGTGTTTATTTTATTTTATATGCATAGCACAGGGTAGCTATAAATTAGTGATCAAAGTTGAAGCCATAATCATTTTTCTTTGCCCGATTAAATTTTAAGGCTATTATTAGGATCTATTATGGGAACAATAACCTATTGCTACTAGATTATTGTGTTGCAATGACAACAATGTTGCCATGATTACCTTTAAAATGCAGGGTACAAGCTGTTTCCTGCGATGGGTACGGAACCTGGATGATGAAGTACACGCACTTGTTGCAGGTAAATCTACATTTCCTCCCAACCGTCCCTCTCAGATTCCCAAAGTTAATAGTTTCCATGCATCTCCCTAAGAGTGAAAAGCTTTCAGATACTTTCTGGAGAATAATGTTGTGCATCTTATAGGGTGGAAGCTCCATAAATGATTGCAAGGAAGCCTTGATAAATTACGAAGCTAGTTACCGTAATACACAAAGGTGGCGTGGAGACCACGTCTGGCACAGAACATTTGCAGTATTGAAAAATCAGGGGGGTTTTTTGGGCTGAGAGTAATGCTAGAACAGATTGTAAGAACAGAAGCAACCCCAGAGGGAACTCGGAGTCCTAATGGACAATCACTTAAATATGAGCCAGCCATGTGCTGCAGCTGCCAAAAAGGCCAATACAGTGCTGGGCTGCATTAACAGAGGGATAGAATCAAGATCACGTGAAGTATTAATACCACTTTACAAGGTCTTGGTAAGGCCACACTTGGAATACTGCATCCAGTTTTGGTCACCGCAATGTAAAAAAGATGTTGAGACTCTAGAAAGAGTACAGAGAAGAGCAACAAAGACGATCAGGGGACTGAAGGCTAAAGCATATAAGGAAAAGCTGCTGGAACTGGTATGTCTAGTTTAATGAAGAGAAGGACGAGGGGGGACATAATAGCAATGTTCCAATATCTCAGGGGCTGCCCCAAAGAAGAGGGAGTCAAGCTATTTTCCAAAGCAACTGAAGGCAGGACAAGAAGCAACGAATGGAAACTAATCAAGGAGAGAACCAACCTAGAACTAAGGAGAAACTTTCTGACAGTCAGAACAATTAACCAGTGGAACAACCTGCCTCCAGAAGCTGTGGTTGCTCAAACACTGGAGGTTTTTAAGAAGACACTGGACAGCCATTTGTCTGAAATGGTATAGGGTTTCCTGCCTGAGCAGGGGGTTGGACTAGATGACCTCCAAGGTCCCTTCCAAGTTTTTTTTATTTTTATTATTATTATTATTATTATTAAAAAGAAAGTATACTAAGAAATAAAAAAGAAAGGGGCCTAGGATAGAATGGTTACAAGTCTTGAATATATGATTTATCGGAGGATATGTTGATCATTGTGATACCTTTCTCTCCCCCCCCCTTCTCATGGTGTTAAAAATCAGCATTCATCCAATGAAGCTGAATAGTGAAAATTTTAGGGCAGATCAAAGGAATCACTTCCTCACACAGCACCTGACTGAAGTGTAACATTTTCTACCGGTGATGTGATATACCTAATTTGCAGTGGCTTCAAAACAGGAGTAGACAGATCAAGTTTTAAGTGACTCCTGACTGTCACAGTGATGTATTAGCCTTCTCCAGCATGATTCCCTGCAGCAAATCAGAAAGGGAAGGATGATCTGTTTTACCTCAAGTACCCTGAGCTCTTTATAAACCTTCAAGGTGGAAAGATGTCTCAGTGGCATCAGGTTGTCCACAAGGGTGAGACAGGATGCTGAACTAGATAAACTTTTTTCAATCCAACTAGACTCCCTTTCTCTCCATTTATTTGGAAACTGCTAGAGTAGAATTTCATGTGGTCCAGTATTCAGAACTTAGCTAATTTACTTTATGTGTCTTTTTTTTAACCACGCAGGGTCCCTAGCTGGATTGTCAATGATGTTTTACAGAAGCACATCTATTTCAATGTACTTGGCTTCCAAACTAGTAGAGGTGAGCCTCTTTGTGCTGTCAGAATGTTTTTTCCTCAGGAGTGGCAGAATTAGTTTCATCCAGTGATTCTCCAAGTCAAGCTCCCCAACCATGTATTTTCTAGATGAGTAGAAAGCACCGTTCAAAAATATTAGGATCCAGTTCTTAGCTAGTCTGCAGGGCTGCTTCTTAGAGAGGCTGTTGACGAACTCTTGAGAGTTTGAAGTCCATTGTTATTGTTATTATGATTATGATTATTTTGTTGTTTTGCACAGACACTGCGAGTTTATGCACCAGAGACAAATTCCTTTTTTCTAATTAAGAATTCTATTCTATTCTATTCTTTCTGTTCTTTCTATTCTATTCTGTTTACTCTTCTCTTCTCAGCCCATATTCTCTTCTCTTCTAATTCTCTTCTCTTCTCTTCTCTTCTATTCTATTTACTCTTCTATTCTATTTTGTTCTATTTACCCTTCTCTCTTCTCTTCTCTTCTCTTCTCTTCTCTTCTCTTCTCTTCTCTTCTCTTCTCTTCCCATATTCTATTCTATTCTGTTCTATTCTTTCTATTCTATTCTGTTTACTCTTCTCTTCTCAGCCCATATTCTCTTCTCTTCTAATTATCTTCTCTTCTCTTCTCTTCTATTTACTCTTCTATTCTATTTATTCTTCTATTCTATTCTGTTCTATTTACCCTTCTCTCTTCTCTTCTCTTCTCTTCTCTTCTCTTCTCTTCTCTTCTCTTCTCTTCTCTTCTCTTCTCTTCTCTTCTCTGCCCATATTCTATTCTATTCTATTCTATTCTATTCCATTCCATTCTATTCTATTCTATTCTATTCCATTCCATTCCATTCCATTCCATTCCACTCCACTCCACTCCACTCCACTCCATCACACCCCACCACACCACACTGCATCACACTTCATTTTCTTGTTTCAATATATTTGGAGAGCAGCAAATTGGAAAAGACTCTCATTGTTCTTTCCTATCATGCCTCTACTGACTTAGCCTGGTCGAAGAATCTTGCTAATCAGATATTAGAATTCCCACACTTGGAAATCAATCAAATGCAAGTAGTCCTCAACGTACAACAGTTCATATAGTGATGTTCGAACTTACAATGGCACTGAAAAAAATGACCCATGACCATTTTTCATAACCTTTGCAGCCTCCCCCTGGTCACATGATCAAAATTCAGATGCTTGGCAATTGACTCATATTTATGACGGTTGCAGTGTCCCGGGGTCACGCGATCCCCTTTTGCGACCTTCTGACAAGCAAAGTCAATGGGGGAAGCCCGATTCACTCAACAACCGTGTTACTAATCTAACAGCTGCAGAGATTCACTTAACCACTGTGGCCAAAAGAGTTGTAAAATGGGACAAATGTTTCACTTAGCAACAGAAATTTTGGGGCCAATTGTGCTTATAAGTCGAGGGTTACCTGTAGTATATTTTATACCATCCGAAGAGGTTTTTCTTTTCTTTTCTTTTCAGCTCAGACCATTAAGTCCACAGTCTAAAGTAGTCACATCAGTGATCCTCAATAACTATGAATGAACCATGCACTGGAGGATATACTCAGTTGATTCCACTGTTGCTTTTTAAAAAGCCTTGTAGGGTTGACTCCCTGTATGGGTCATTTTTCTTGTGCCTAGCCTTACATCATTAGTCTTTTTTGGAAACTCATTCACTTGCTTGCTTGATTATTTATTTTTTTTAAATTTTATAGACCATGTATTTCAAAGGCATCGAAGCTGGAAAGGTTCCTTATTTCCCTCATGCGGACAGTATAATCTATGCTGTATCCACAGCCATCTGCTTCCAAGCTGTAAGTTTCCGTTCTTTAGGTTCAAACTCTTTTGTTTATGTCTAAGGTTGCTCATTAAGTAAAGTAAAAGGACGTAGGGCAGTTTGTCCTGGACATTTCCTTCATACGATAGCTGCTTGACTCTTATTTCACTTTAAGAGGTTTGTTAGCATTTACATGCTGCTAGAGAAGGAGAGATTATCAAACCTGCCATAGCTGGGGACATGTTCCAACAGCCCAAACAACTGCATTGATAGAAGAAAATATTTGGAGCACAGGATGGAATTGAGAGATACTTGGTGTTCTCTCAGTTTGGTGTCAGTGGGTGAGAAACGAAATGTCTTCAAAGAAAAATCAAGAAAGTCCAGTTGTCCTGTGAAAAAGTATTTTTGCGATAACTATGACCTGGAGCAGAGGTCCCCAACCTTTTGGGCAGGGACCAGTTCCATGGAGAAAGGTTTTTCCGCAGACCGGAAGGGGCGTGGTTTTACGTGCCTACATCTTGCGGATGGAACTTTGTTTGTACAGAGCAGTTGCTGGCATGCCACGGCCCGGCACTGGTCCACAGACTGGGAGTTGAGGATCCCTGATCTGGAGGATTGAGAAGCTCCATAGATACATTTTATTTCGGCCCTCCTTGACACCCTTTCTTTAATGATTCTATTTGATTATTTCTTTGATATTCATGTAAATCTTGTCCTGCAACAAGTTGGCCATGGCAAGTTGTCCCACTTTGAGTTGACCACAACCAATTGGCAGCGGTGAGATGGTCGTGGCAAGTGGGCCATGGCGAGTTGTCCCACTTTGAGTTGACCGCAACCAGTTGGCAGCAGTGAGATGGCCGTGGCAAGTTGGCCATGGCGAGTTGTCCCCCTTTGAGTTGACCACAACCAATTGGCAGCGGTGAGATGGTCGTGGCAAGTTGGCCATGGCGAGTTGTCCCACTTTGAGTTGACCGCAACCAGTTGGCAGCGGTGAGATGGCCGTGGCAAGTTGGCCATGGCGAGTTGTCCCACTTTGAGTTGACCGCAACCAGTTGGCAGCGGTGAGATGGCCGTGGCAAGTTGGCCATGGCAAGTTGTCCCCCTTTGAGTTGACCACAACCAATTGGCAGCGGTGAGATGGTCGTGGCAAGTTGGCCATGGCGAGTTGTCCCACTTTGAGTTGACCGCAACCAGTTGGCAGCGGTGAGATGGCCGTGGCAAGTTGGCCATGGCGAGTTGTCCCACTTTGAGTTGACCGCAACCAGTTGGCAGTGGTGAGATGGCCGTGGCAAGTTGGCCATGGCGAGTTGTCTCACTTTGAGTTGACTGCAACTAGTTGGCAGCAGTAAGATGGCCGTGGCAAGTTGGCCATGGCGAGTTGTCTCACTTTGAGTTGACCGCAACAGTTGGCAGCGGTAAGATGGCCATGGCAAGTTGACCCTGGCGAGTTGTCTCACTTTGAGTTGACTGCAACCAGTTGGCAGCAGTGAGATGGCCGTGGCAAGTTGGCCATGGCGAGTTGTCCCACTTTGAGTTGACCGCAACCAGTTGGCAGCGGTGAGATAGCCATGGCAAGTTGGCCATGGTGAGTTGTCGTAGACTCTTCATATTATGCCCATGTGTACTGGCAACCACTGCTGCACAACTTAGTGGTTGCCAGTAGGCTTCTGAAAGTAGTTCAAGATGCACCTAGAAAGTCCTTTGTGACCCAGGACCTTATTATCTGGGCAGCCATCTCTCTCCCATTGTTTCTGCCTGCCTGGTACACTTGGACAAGTGAATGCACTCCGGATCCCTTCAATTAAATTTTGCTATCTTGAGGGACTAAGGAAACATGCTTTTACTTCTTCAGCCCCTGCCCTCTGGAACATCACATCCCTGTCCCTTCCCTGAAGTATGGATGGTGCCCATTCTCCTTGGGTTCCAGGAAGTCTTAAGATCCGACTCTGGTCCCAAGCTGGGTTTCATGTGTGTGTTCATATATTTGTGCTGTTTACTGTTCTGATTGTTTTAGCCCCAGCTGCTTGTTAACTGTTTTGATTGGGGGAGGTTGGAGGGGGGATTTTGTAAGCTGCCCAGAGTCTGATGGAGTGGGGTTTAAGTATAGCAAAGTGTTTAATTGAATTCCCAAGTTAAAGCCAGAATTTTTGTTTTTAGGCTGTGATGGAAGTCCAGAACCTGAGACCGTCATACTGGAAATTCCTATTGCGATTAACGAAAGGAAAGTGAGTAACTCTCAGTGGTTACATGTCTATTATCCAGGTCATGTGTTAGAGAATTTTAATTTCTCTATTGGTGAAAAAATAAATCAGAAGCTCTCACAGTTGACTGCATTTAGCTGATTCAAAATAACTTCTTTATATTTATATCAAAATATTTACAATACCATTCTTCTTTACAGCAACATAGCTTAATGAAGACTTCTTACAGAGACAGACCAGAGACAAAATCAGAGACTGGAAATCCAGCTCCTAACTCAATACTCTTTTGCACAGACTCAGTAGCACTTTCTTCCCATTGGCTGACTGAGTTACCACATGACTCTTCCTGCTCATGAATATTCCAACATCATGGTTGTCCCAAAGGTGCTTTTTCCAAAAGGCAACTGAACTTTCTTGGAAGCTTGAGAAATGAAATGTTTTCATAAGCAAGAAAGAGAGAGAGAGAGAGAGAGAGAAGAAAGAAAGAAAAGAAAAGAAAGAGAAAGAAAGAAAGAAAGAAAGAAAGAAAGAAAGAAAGAAAGAAAGAAAGAAAGAAAGAAAGAAAGAAAGAAAGAAAGTCCACTTGCTTTTTGAAAAAAAGCACCTTTGGGTCCCAGTGATTACCATTGTTCATTTCTGTAAGAAACATGATGGATACCAGACTTCCTTTTTAAAGGAATTTTGAAGGCATTTTGTGTTAAATGACAAGATGGTCAATTAACACAATTAAAAAAACCAAACATTCTAGGAGTGCAAAGCTCGAAGACTGGGTTTTCTCTTAAGATTTCTAGTTTTCCTTGTGATCCTAGCGTTCCCTTCATAGTTTTCATGAACAGAATTGTCCTTCAGTACATAAGATTTGTAGTTGGGCCCCCAAAAGTGGAGTGATTTAGACAGAGTGTCATTTTTAACCACAATTTTAGTTTGCATTAATTGCGACTTTCATTAGTCCCAAAGAGAAATAGAATAATATTTCAGATTGCAACCTTTTCTCGTCTACTTGGCTAGCAAGAAATAACATTCACTGAAAGTTGGTTAGCCTTATACAAGAAGTCTGATAAAAAAGTTTATTTGAAACATTGGAGGAAAAAAAATACCAAACATCGGAAATTTTTGAAGGCCTTTGAAAGGATACAAATTCTTAACTTAAAACCTAATATAAAGAACATTTCAGCCGGGTTTATTTGAAAATATTTTTGCCATTTCTTATCCTTTTACCATTGTAGTGTATAAACATAGTAAGTATGTTTATTATATTTCTCTTAATATATCATTGCATGCTTCTTTTAATAAATACATTATTTCATGATCGTTTTTTAGTGGGATGAACATAGTTTTAAATCCCTAAACTTTGACGGAGGAAAAGTTAAATTCACTACCTCAGAGATCATAATCCTGTTTTATGTTGCTTTATTCCCTGAGTTATATAGCAAATTAATTTTGGATTTTTCATTTTCTAGATTTGGTGTCATGAACAGAAAAATATTAGACGCATTCGGTACTGAAGCATCTAAGCATTTTAAGGATTTCTGTCCAGAACTCGACCCAAGATACACAATTGTTCCACCAGAGAGACCTATTGAAAAATTTTGGAACTGATATATCCGTTTATGATTATGTCTGACCAATGGCTGTCCTAAGAGTTAATTAACTTAACAGTCAAATAGATGGAAGAATGCTTGTGTTCCACATCAGTATTGTTTCAGTGAGTTATGTTATACAATCAAAATAGTGAAACACCATAGCAAGGTGTGACTTAATTCCACTTCCCTTCTTAGATAGAAGCTCTGGGTCACTGTGGCTGGTTGACACAACCTGGTAGATTTTTAAAAAAAATTATATATCGACTGGTTAATATATATGAAAAAGAAAATTTTTTAAAAAATGCCCAGATGTGGTTTAAAAGATATACATCCACAGTTCACTCTGTCTCATTCCAGTAGGTAGCCTTTTATAAAAAAAAAATAATATTTTTACATTTAGAAGTAAAAGATATGTAAAACATATATGTATATGTATGCTACAGTTGCAGATTAGATTCTAGTGAAAAAGATTTTCTTTAGATAGATTTAAAAAAAAAAGATTATTATGGCTCTTGACAATTGTTTAAAAAGGCAATATCGGTACTTTATTTATACAACTGCACTGTTTATATCCAACTTTGGCTTTGACTACTGTCTTCTGAGAGCATCAGCTCCCCAAACCCAGTTGCACACTGAGAGGTAAGAGAGGGGGGAAAAGTTGAACACTCGGAATTTTTAAGAGATCTTGCAAAATAATAGAAAATCATCACTGCCAGATGGAATGTACCAGTTTTCAGTTTTTGCATACATAAATGGAAGAAGAAAAAAAATTACACTGTTCTAACAACGTTCTTCGGAAAGTGAATATGCCACTGAACATACAGCTGCCTTGATTTTATAAACTTTAATGTTGGTTTCCAGTAACATTCAAAGTGAATCCAAGACCTTATATTTAGTGGATAAAGTAAAACAAGGGAACACATTGAGAATATTGGGGATATCTACATCTACAGATTGTGTTAGCTGATTTTCTGACCAGCCTGTGACACTTAATGTAATGTAAGTCATTGCACAAAGCCACTTCCCTTGATGGATTATCTTATTTCTCCTTTAACAGTCACCTTAGTAGACACCTTAGTATAGTTGCACAGGAACTGCAGAGAAGGACTTTCAAAGCATGTGAGAGATTAAAAGAAAAAAAAAACACCCTTAGATCTGTACAATTTCTTAAAAGCTGAAATATCTGTGATCAAAAGTATCAGAAGGAGAGAGATTGCTTGGAACTAGATTTAATTTCTGTAAACTATTTTTTCCCATCTATTATATGATTCGAATATGCACACAAATTATCTAGTATTCTTATTTCACTCTCTGTAACGATGATGCTGAATTCACGGGACAGGAGCATACATTTTTATTTTGATCCTAAGGAACCTGGCAGAATTGCCATTCAGACTGAATGAATGGAAATGGAAGGAAAGTGGAATGGGAAAAAAAAATCTACATTACATCATACCGTAGAGCATCTCTCTCTTTCTGGTGTGAAATAATATTTCAATCCAAGCTTGCAGTTGTGTTCCAGTTGTTGTTTGGACTAACAGGACTGACTGTGTTTATTGTCTTTATTGGAGAATGAAATCATATGTCAATCTTTTAAGATAGCAGTCCCCAACCCCTGGTCTGTGGATCAGCACTGGGCTGCGCAAACAAGGCAAGCCCCGTTTGTGGGATGCAGGCAGCACACGAAACCACGCCTCCTCTGGTCCACGGAAAAACCTCTGTCCACGGAACTGTTCCCTGGTGCCCAAAAGATTGGGGGCTGCTGTTTTAAGAGACTATTGTTTATACTTGTTCTGTATTATCTTAGATTGTTTAAATCAGATGGCTGCCCTAAAAGTTTGTCACTGCCAATTGTGTGGTGGAAGTGATGCATTGTCAATTGCTAGATGAGCAGAAAGTTTGAATGTCCCAGGTAGGGGTGAATGATGAACCTCTTGATCAATATTCCTTATGAAAGGCAATAGAACAGGGGTGCAAAACCCCCAGTACGTGGACTGGTACCGGGCTGCGGCACGTCAGTAGCCAGTCTGCACAGACAAGCAAAGACCCAACCACGGGATGAAGGCAGCACACAAAACCCATGCTCCCTCCGGTCTGCGAAAAAACCTCTCTCCACAGAACCGGTCCCTGGTGCCCAAAAGACTGGGGACTTCTACAATAGAGCAAGTACTTCACAAAAGTAAACGTAGAACTCAGGGATCTATCCAACTCCCATCTGATGTGTTTGCCTGTGACTTTGAAGTCTGCTGAAATAGTTTGAAGGAGCCCGACACCGGTACAAGACCAACACCCCAAAATATAAATGGTATAAAATGTGGGGCAGTTGTTAATGCCTGGAAGAACAAAGAACATAGAATAACGAGTTAGGAGGGACCTTGCAGATCTTCTAGTCCAACGCCTGCTGGTTGGACTAGATAGAAGAATAAATAAATAGAATAAGTGCCTGGTCAGCATTTATTTTTAATTCTATCTCCAAACATCAGTATTTCTTTTCTCTGAATATCCTAATTTCTTGAAAGGAAAAACTTCTGTGGCATCAATAAATTAACTTGAGGGCCGGGAGAACTGAGGTGGAATGGGATGGAGGACATCTGCAGTCAGCATTGGGAGGGAAAGAGCCAGAAGGATGTCCAAGTGTTTGAGCACTTCCCTCTTACTCTTATTTTTTTTTTTACTCAGGACAACATGGGAGATCTAACATGTATGGGGAACTTGGGGAAGGGGCGGAGAATTCCGATTGACTGGACCTGAGCAAGAAGAGGTTTATGATGTGCCACAGACCCAAGCTCTTTGAATGTTCATAGTTGTTGTGTGATTTGTTTATTTAGATACCACATTTTTATCAGGCTGCCCTCCCAAAACTTTCCACAACTTCCATGATGCAATAATAATAACAATAATTTAAACCTCCAAGGTACTTTAAACATTAAAAATTAAATCATAAAACCATAAACCCATAACGATCCTCTTGGCCACAGTCACAAAAATACAACGAAGGCCACGAATAAAAATAGGAATAAAAGAAGGTGCAAGTCACGAACTCATCTGGAACTCTCTCCAAAGTCGCTCAGTTTTTAAACATCTTTCTAAAAGTCTTCAGGGAGGGGCTGTCCCAAACTGTCCCACAAGGAGCTTCTCCCTAAATAATCTGGCAAATTGGGCCGATTCCGGTTGGAGAGGGTGGTTCTATAAGATGCCCAGATGCCAAGCCAAAAAAGTCATTTTGGGTCACATGGCAGAAGGGAAGACAAATATGAAAATGCACAGGTATTCTTCTGCGGAAGTATCTATATTTCTTAGTTGTCTTCATTTGGAAAACATGAGTTTGGGAGTTGCAAATAACATCTTTGTAAGGACTAATAGTCTTTTTGCGTTTCGACTCAAGGTAGATCTTTGTATTGAGCCTAGAATCGGGTTCTCAACCGTGTCAACTTTAAGACTTGTGGACTTCAACTCCCAGAATTCCTCAGCCAGCAAAGCTGGCTGAGGAATTCTGGGAGTTGAAGTCCACAAGTCTTAAAGTTGCCACTTGAGAACCCCTGGCCTAGATCTTTATTTTTTACATTTCTTCATAATGAGGCTTACTGCTATCTTTTTCAAGTAGGCTCAAATTGCCGGTAGCAGATGTTGTTCAGCTTTTTTGAAATAGAATCACTTCAGAAATTTAATATTTGCAATTGCAACTCACAGAAGATTGATTTCTAAACTCATTGATTATATCCACTGTTGTAGATGTTTCATAGAGCCGTGTCAGGTTATGTGTAAGTGAAAACTGACTGTTAGGGAGACACTTATGTCTGAAAGAACAAGTACTCTCTGGGTGTGTTTCTTTCACAAGAAAAAGTTTGCCTTACTCTGAGGAAAACACTGGATTTAAAAAAAATGTTGAACTCTGCACATTGTGGCAAACCTTTGAGTGGGAGTTGAAAATGCTATTTTTATTTATATATGATTTTTAACAGACCAATTTAAGCTGCTTGGGGAGAAATAAAATATGATTGCAAGGGATAGTTCTTACAAAAAGTATTCATTTCCCTCATGAGGAAGCACAATTCCTCCATCAGGTGTGGAAAGAGGAAGTCCCACTTTAAAAAACAAAACACTCTTTACTCCAACCATTAAATTTCTAGATAAACACACCAAGGAGTTAGGAGCTAGCATATATGTCAGGCATTTGGACTTTCCCACATAATTCACTGTAAAACCTTTAAGTAGTGTGTATGTGCAGGAGGCACTTCTATCAATTTCATAGCGATGATGGATTTTTGTGTAACATAAAAGAACTTTTAAAAAGGAGTGAAGTTATTGTTTTGACTGGAACAGTTGGAAATAAACAGTGAGCTCTGCAGTTCTCTCAATCCTGATTGTTTAAATATTTGCTGATTGCTCTTGAATTAATTTAATAAAGAGAAATTTCTTTTAAGGAATCTCTGTTCAGTTGGACTCCTTATGAAAATCTCATAGCCCTGAAGATTGCTCTGCTGGTTACATTGGAAAACTGTTTTTTGGGGTGAGGAAATGACAGAATAACAAGAGTTGGAAGGGACTGTGGTGGTCTTCTAGTCCAACCCCCTGCTCAGGCAGGAAACCCTATGACTTTGCTGATCCTTTCTTTTCATCTACAACAGGGGTGTTAAATTGCCGGCCCGTAGGCCAGACGCGTCACCTGGAAGCCGCGCCTACCCCATTGCCGGCAATAGCAAAACTGTCCCGATACATCGCGCAACGTCACGTGACGTCGCGAGTTTGACATGTCTGATCTACAAACCCTTCCCCTTGCAGTGAACCTGTGAAGGAACTCCACATATTTATATTGATATACCAGAGACAAGGGGGATTGCGTTCACCCCTCTATAAAGTCAGCAGCAAAGGGCAAACGTTAAAAGTCAGGTGGGTTTTTTTTTTTTTACTTTCTTTAAATCAAGAAAGGACTCTAATTGAACCCCTGAGATTAGAAAGGGGAAAGCAATTCCTATTAAGGCAGTTTTCAAGTCCCATTTTTTGTCCAGTTTTTGAAGAAGTCAATAAAACATGGGAGGAAGCAACATTAACAACATGATTATGATGATAATGTTATCCATTCAATCTTGTGTGACTCTTGGCGATCCTATGGGCCAGGTCTCTCCACATCAGGGATCTTCAAACTTGGCCACTTTAAGACTTGTGGACTTCAACTCCCAGAATTCCTCAGCCAGCCAGGGCTGGCTGAGGAATTCTGGGAGTTGATGTCCACAAGTCTTTAAAAGTTGCCAAGTTTGAAGACCCCTGCTCCACATCTTACAAAATTGCACTTCTTTGAGTAGTTCTGTACTCTGGCTGGTGTCCGCTTTGATGGTGTCCAGCCATTGTGTCCTTTAGCAGCCTGTTTTTCTGTTACCACTAACTCGCCCAAACAATATATTTGCTTATTTATTTATTGGACTCGTGACACCACTACCCATCTTATGAAACCTCTCTGGGCATCTCAAGGTGGCCCCAAAGACCACTCAAACAGTAAAATCAAAATTTGGTACTTCAATTGTTCTTCTCTGATGCGTCCCCAAAAAAATCATCCTTGGGCTCCAACCTTATCCCTATCCTGATTCTTGAAGGAGAAACCAGCTCTTCTGAAAAGGAGAGGGATACCTTCAATCTCAGGTGGGAGACTTCCAAAGGGTTGCGTTGGCCACCAAGGAGATACACAGTCTTGGGGTCTCCAGGTGGCAACATTTAAGCGAAAGGACCTGGAGGTTGTCCACCCTGTCAAACGTGCTGCAATGGGCAGATATCCTCAAGGAAAGGCAGTCCCACAAATTACTTGCCTCACCCCCCTGCCCACTGACTCTTCTACCAGTAGTCCTTAACAATCATTCAATTAGTTACAACAGTTACAACTTATGACTGTTTTTCACACTTATAACCATTGCAGCATGCCCCATAGTCATGTGATCAAAGCTCAGGTGCTTGGCAATTGACTCACATTTATGACCGTTGTATAAACAGAGGCATAGAATCAAGATCACGCGAAGTACTAGTACCGCTTTATAAAACCCTAGTGAGACCACACCTGGAATAGTGCAACCAATTCTGGTCACCATAGTACAAAAAAGACGTTGAGACTTTGGAAAAAGTTCAGAGAAGAGCAACTAAAATGATCAAAGGCCTGGAGACTAAAACATATGAAGAACGGCTGCAGGACTTGGGTTTGGCTAGTCTAAAGAAAAGAAGAAACAGGCAACATGATAGCAGTATTTCAGTATTTGAGGGGCTGCCACAAAGAAGAGGGGGTCATGTTATTTCTTGTCCTGCACCAGAGGGCAGGACAAAAAACAATGGTTAGAAACTGATCAAAGAGAGAAGCAACCTGGAATTGACGAGCAACTTCCTAACAGTGAGGACAATTAACCAGTGGAACAGCTTGCCACCAGAAGTTGTAGGTGCTCCATCACTGGAGGCTTTTAAGAAGAGACTGGACAGTCACTTGTCTGAAATGGTATAGGTTCTCCTACTCGAGCAGAGGGCTGGATTAGAAGACCTCCAAGGTCCCTTCCAGCTCTATCCTATTCTATTCTAAATGAACTTCAACAGTTTGCCCAACCATTCAGAATTTCAGGAGAAACTGCATTGTACAATGCAGTCCGTTGTACACTACGCTGCATTTTTTTTTTAAGATCCCTGGCTCTCAATTTTTATTAGTGGTTTCCCTGCCTGCCTTGAAAGGCAAGTTTGGGAAATTCTGCAGAAAGCACTGCTTTTTGGAAAATGCTGATTATAAGGGGATAAAAAAACATGCTTGCTAGAAACATGCTTACTGGGAATCAGTTTGTTCTAGTCACAGGGCAATTGGAAAAAAAACAAACAGGTGGTCTGAAGCAACTTTTGCTGGACATGTTCAAGCTTGCATTCCAGAATGATATTTAATCAGGGCCAGACACGAAGCTGACTCATCTGAAACCACAAGACTAAAGACATCACAGTTTTCACAATACAGAATTGTTCCTCTTATGAATGTGTCTCCTTATGTCATTATATCTTTGGTAAGGCTATGACCAATTATGGGCCAGTGTCGGTACAGTTTTACCTTCACATACTACAGGTAGTCCTTGACTTACAACAGTTTGGTCAGTGACCGTTCAAAGTGATAATGGCACCGAAAAAAGAAACCTATGACCATTTTTCATACTTAAGAACATTGCAATGTCCCCATGGTCACATGATCAAAATTCAGATGTCATGGTTCTGACAGACAGAGATGAATAAAGCAGAACTCCAAGGCTTGCAAATTCCTTAAAGAACATGTTTAGTGAAAAGTGAAACCAAGTCTGGATACACACGTAACAATTTCCCAATACAAAGTTAAAAATTGCACCCCTAAAACTATGCAAGCAACTACGTTCCCCAATACATCTTCTTGGCAGGCTTTTTATGCAACACCCAGGCTGCTTTCGCGGG